CTCGAAAGTGGAATCAAAGAAATTTTAAAGATTTTGTTTTTGGCTATGACCACATACAACATGCGGGATAGAGCCGAATAGACCTCGTGATTTGGGGTAACTTCAAGATTTAGGAAAAAGGAGATACAGACGCCACGATCCCTTTCAAGTTGGACGACGGATGAAAGCTTAGCCCATTTTCCACCGAAAAATTGGGAAAGCCTCGTGAACTGCGTCAACACGAGTGTTGTATTTTGGCCAAACACGGCTGCAAAACAGCATCAATTAGGCATTGTTTTCCGAATCTGGCGATGCACTTTCATACAAAATGACAGTCTCCACAACAATTTGTTCTTGAAGACACTCTCATCTTCGGCATCAATGCGCTTGAGGTGGTCTTCAAGAGGGTTTCTACAACGAATCTCTTTACGCACTTTCATACGAAACGACAGTCTCCCCAACAATTTGTTCTTGAAGACACTCTCCTCTTCGGCATCAATGCGCTTGAGGTGGTCGTCAAGATGGTTACTACAAAAGCCGACGATTCCGACTCGGCACAAGTGACCGAATTCAAGCAATAGATGAATTGAAATGTCCAAATTATGAACAATTTCTAGTCTTGTCGCTCCAGCCATCCACTCTACCATTCCGCTCATGTACATATTTCATGCCTTCACCTCCCTTCCTGCCCCCCCCCTTAACCAGGGACGACGAGGACCGCCCGGTCACATCGGCTGGAAAGGCTCTCCCGGCCTACCAGGACTGTTGCGCATCGCCTACGAGAAGGTGCTGCCCGGAGACCCAGGCTACCCAGGACGACCGGGCGGAATGGGTGACCGAGGAATGCCGGGCGACAATGGCAGCGCCAGCGCCAAGGGTTTCCCGGGCAAAAAGGGGGATCCGGCAAGTCGCATGCACCCATTGACACACCCTCTCCTCTCCTTTTCCTCCCACCAACCTCGAGCATGCCTTGTCCCATGTCGCATAGACCCTGTCAGCAACCGCTGCCGAGACCATGAGCAAGTCGGTAGAGGGACTCGGCTTTCTCGAGGCTTCAAGCCTGGCCGCTGATTGGTCAATTTGGGAAAAGGTTCTACGACACTCACGACCAGATTTGCCCACTCACGCTCAAATACGAAGAGAGTAGGCGCCTAAAGTATCGGTAATTCTTGGATAAAAATGAAGTATGAGTTGTATTCTTCCCAGTTCGTGTAAGGTGATGAAGGACTGGTAGTAGAATTTTCCCACAATCATATGAGTTGAGCTGACGTTTCCATTGAATTTCACATAGCCTTGCTTTCCCAAAAGTTGTTCTCATCCAGGGTGGGAAAGCAAGGCTATGTGAACATTGCCTTGCTTTCACAAAAGTTGTTCTCATCCTTAAACTTTTGGGAAAGCAAGGCTATGTGAAATTGAATGGAAACGTCAACTCAACTGATATGATTGTGGGAAAATTCTACTACCAGTCTTTCATCACCTTACACGAAATAGGGTGAATACATCTCAT